GGAAAGAGTTTTGGAAATTGAGGAAAGTAAATATGGGAGCTGGACTCTGTGGTCCGGGGAGGTGAACACTGCTGTGGTAGGGAGGGTGAGCAAGGCCTTGTTTTCAATTATCTTTGTTCATTTTGTCTTATGGAATCATTGGAAAAACTGCATCAGCAGTGTGGAACAGAAAACAGGGTTTGTCTCATGGTTCTCTACTTGCTTGAAACTCCATCCCCCTATGGCTGCCTGGAATAGATGCCCAGAACACAGCATTTGAGAAGCCTTTGTTTGGCAGTCCTCATTACAGTACTTTTAATAGGGAGGGTCTGTTAGAAGACATGACCTAGAATTCCTAAAAGGAATGGACGCCTGTGTATGGAGAGGAAAAGAAAGCTTCGTGGATTAGTAGTTTCAAACCTCAAGGTCTCTGATTTCCCTTTCATAAGAATAAACCTTGCATGTCGTACAATATTCAGCATGTTTCAGACCTCCACCTTATGAGAAAGACAGAGAGTCATGGTCCCCACAGAAAAAGGAGCCTAACTTTTTGGCCTTTACTTTCTCCACTGAAATCTCTCCTGAAATCTCACTTTTTCTTTACCGCTTACATCCAGATTCCGCAAGAGGGTGGAGTGGTCATATTCATGATTGGTGATTTTTCTTCTTTTTAAGATCACCCTATATACTGTAGGCAAGTCCCTTCTCTCTTCCATTGATGCTACTCTGTTGGCTTAGAACTCAGATCTTGTATATACTGAGCAGTGCCCTAACCTCGAGGCCATTGGAGGAAAAAAACTTTTATGCAGCTGTTATCTTTTGGATAAGAATTGAGCACAGACAGAATTGACAATTTTCGCCTGATCTGGCCCCAGAAAGCACTCTACAGCTGTGACCAAACAGAAGTGTATGGCTACAGACCACTTCAAAAGGGCCTGATCCAATGAAAATATGAGCCCTCATTGCATGAACACACTCCAGAATGGAGCGCCTTCTGTAACTTGTGCCTGCGAAGCTCCCAGCCTGTTGCTGTTTTTAGAATGGGAGGAGGGTAGAGGGAGCAGGAGGTGTTTGGTCTGGGGTTCTTTCATCCAGCTGTGGAGGGTGGAATGGGTGGATTGGAGCCCCCCCCCCACCTTAGGGGGCTTCAGTCCCCCCACCCCCCCCTCCAGTGCCAACTGGGGAACCCCAAGAACGATCTGTCTCTGCTCCCTTTCCCCTCATCCATTCTGAAACAGTGTCTGTGCTGGGAGGGAGGAGTGGCATTGATACAGAGACTGAGCTGCAGACTCGCAGCAAGCAGCTGTAATCCACAACTCCCGGACAACTCTGGGACACTGAACTCCCAACAGTGAACTTCTTTTGGGTCCAGGGGATCATTGCAACTCATAGCGATTCCTGCAAAGTGCTATGGGTTGCAACGGGGAGCTGCTTTTCTGTCTGTGCCCAATGGATACATCTCTAGAGGCATCAGAGTGCTTCGCATTGAAACAAAAAGGAGAGCTAGATGGATCTTCAGGGCAATGTAGAATGCACCTTCAGGGGCTCCCAATGTCACCACTGAAAGTATAGGAGAACTACACATCTACACTGGTAAAGCATAATGCCTCCTTGGGCCTAACCTGGAAAAAACAGAGACTAAATTGCAGAGGTCTCATCAACAAAAGAGCCAGTATAGTGCGTGATACTGTATTTTTCCTTTGCACAGGATGTGTAGATAAGCAGTGTGAACAATTTAATTATGCATATACTCAAAAAAAGCTTTTCCTTCAACTTTAACAGTAGGTAAACAAGGGATTTCTCCCAATTTTTATGAAAAGCACTAAAGTTGTTAGAAAGTTCTGCTCCCAAAATATTCAAAAGTCATCCAACACCAAAGTTTCATGCACATCTTCATTTCTTGTTTATAACAATTCAGGGCCAGTTTCTTGGTTTGTACTTCAACCCCTTCTCCCACAAAAGATGCTTTAACATGGCTGTTAGCAATTCCTTTTAAATAGGATAGGCCATAGGCTGCTCTAACCTGTGGGGAATCCAAATCAACTTTTGAGGAAAGAAAAGTTGCAGAAAGACGTGCTTCACTCACCCAGTTCCATGTTCTATGCCAAATTCTTCAGCACTTATTTTAAGGACCTTGTGCAAAGTGTGCCCAAGACTCAGTTACGTCCTCATCCTGCATCATTAAATTCAGTGGGGATTTTGCCAATAACCCGGATGAGAGCATGTGAGAGGCAAGAATTCTTATGGGTGACATGAGGCATGCATTTAAAAAAAATGTCCAAGGCTACTCCACTTTGTTGATTTCCTACAGTTTTACCTGTATAAATCAGGTCTGAATTTGTCCAAGTATGAATAATTGTAAATTAAAACATGCAAGCTTAGAAGCACAAGTACAGCAGTAGGGAGCCAGTAAAATAAGTTGCTAAAGATATTTTTTTTTAAGAACAAAGCTATTTTTTATGTATTTGCTTAGCTCTGAAATTCTTCTTTGCTGTTTCATGATTTTAGCTCTCAGTGTTATTGTGGAGCTTTTCCTCCACTGTGGGAAGAGCTATGGGTGAGTTCAGTCTTGCCTGAGTTTCCTTATCTTCTCACTGCTTGGAGTTTTCTTTATCATGAAATGCAACATGTCTGACTTTCCACAGGCTTGCAATCCTAAATATGCAGATTATGACAAGACAGGTTCGATATGTGTGAGCGAAAATATCAACAACACCCTGACTCGTTACCGATGGCTGGTTAGCGCACCCACTGGCTCTGATGGTGTAACCAGCCCCATGAGAGAAGTTGATTTTGATACTTTCTTCACTTCATCCAAGTTAATCACACTGGACTCCATTTACTTCCAAGCGGGGTCCAGGGTCCAATGTGCAGCCCGTGCTGTGAATTCAGATGGAAATGAAGGCCTGGAGCTCATGAGCCCTATTGTAGCAATAAGCATGGATGAGGGTAATGTATCCATAATCTGTAGCAAAACTGGCAGAATGTATTCTGAAATAAATGTACATTCCATGCAGGTGATGCCTGGTTAACTGATTGGAGAAACATAGAGGGCAGACAGAAGCAACAGTTTTTGCCTGATCTGGCCACAGAAAGAAGTTTATAGCTGTGATCAAACACAAATGTACGGCTGCAAACAGCTTCTAAAATGGGTGATTGAATGAAAATCTGACCCCTTGTTGCATGGGAGGGGGGAAAGGGAGCAGAGGGAGTTCAGTCTGGGGGGTTCTCAGCCCCCCATGGAGGGTGGGATAGGTATATTGCAGTGCCCTCTCCCCCAAGGTGGGGGGGCTCCAATTCACTCACCCCACCCTTCAGCACCAGCTGGGGAGCCCCATGAACAAACTTGCTCTGCTGCCTTCCCCCCTCCCATTCTGAAAACAGTAAGCACTGGCAGAGAGCCTGGACATTGCTATGGGAACCTGGATGCAGGCTCCAGCTGCATCTAGATTCCCCTCTTCCCTGGAACCAACAGTGAACTTCTGTTTGGTCTGGGGTAACACTGCAACTCAGAACCCTTTGCAAAAATTATTCTGAGTTACAGCTGGGAGCTGCACTTCTGTCTGTGCCCATAATGTTATTGTGTTTCCAGAATCTACAAAGCCAGGACTTCTAATGCAAAAGCAAAAAAAAGAAAGAAAGAAAGAAAGGAAAAATACCTTTTAAAAAGGGAGCAAAGTGAGAGAGAGGCAAAATCCTTTCAGGTTTTATCTGCAATATAAAGAAGTGTAAAAGGTCAAAACCTTGTTTCTCCATTTTACTGATCACCTTTAAGTGTTCTTCTACAGCACATACCATGCTTGTATAATTTAAAAGTTGAAAAGTTTAGGTTCCACTTATAAAACAGAGATGTGTTTGAGTTAATGTGCCAGTTAGAAAATGAAGGCATATCAGGCAATGAGGACAAAATTCCAAAGCACTGCACTTTTTTTAAGCCTAGTATAGATAATACCAGTTCTTTGTGTCACCGGACCTCTCTTTGCTGCTACAGTAACTTTTTTATTCTTTGTAATATCCCATTTCCAATAGACAAGAAAGTAAATTATCCCTTCCATGCTAGTTTTCTCATTTTAATTTCAAGGGCTTGGCTAATCCCAACTACATTTTTAAGGAAAATATTCTAATTTCTACTGGATTCAGGATTTAGAGAGCTGAATTAGCAACACTTCTGTTTGCTTGTTTTCTTTTACTATATTTTCATGTATAGAACACACACCTTTTTCTCTAGAATCAGCCCCTTCAAACTGGACTCCATGAATTAAGCAGGGGTGTAGGTTGTAGCCGTGTTGGTCAAAGGACATAGGCAGACAAGGTTCTTTGGGTAAATGCGGTATCTTTTATTAGACCAACCCAAATAGTTGGAAAAATTCTTCTTAGCAAGCTTTCACTTGACAAGGACACTCCTCCAAAGAGAGAGATCATACTTTTGAAAGAGCCGCCCAGATACTACATGAAGAGTTGCCGCAGTACAGAAGAAAAACCCCCATGAATCTCACACCACTGGTTATGACATACCATTCCTCCCTGGAACCTGTACAGATAATCTTCAAACAGTTGCAACCCATACTAGAAGGAGACCCAATTCTCAAAGAGATCTTTCCAGAACCACCCATCCTAGCCTTCAAACAAGCACCAAACCTCTCTAACCTCATCACCAGAAGCAAACTTCCTATGGCCCAAAGCACACCAAATGCGGGACAAGAAATGTAAAACCTGCCAACACATCTCCACCACCTCCACAATTACTACATCCCACAACAGAGCCATCAGCATTCCTGGATCTTACAGCTGCACCTCCTGAAATGTAATACAGGCAGTCCTTGAACTTATGACAAAATTGGTTCCTAAACACTGCATCTTAAGTCAAAACGTTGTAACTCGGAACCAATTTTCTCATAAGAAATAATGTTATAAGTGGGGTATTTGGTCCTGTACCAAGGCCCAATACCCTATTTTCACCAAAAATACCCCAGAATTTTGTACTTGATCAATTGTAGAGGAGTACGTTAATGTATTTATATTGTAAATAGCAATCATTGATTTGGAAGGACTTCTTTGAGGTGACATTGCTGGACTTTCTGAAAGGCTCTTGGTTGGACTTTTTGAAGGGTTGTTGGCTGGAGTGTTCTCAGGAGTCTTGGCTGCAGGTTTTTCTGGAATCTTATCTGCTTTCTTAAAGCGTCCAAGGAAGTTTGAACAGATGGGTGACACAGCGAACTTGTTCACTGGCATGGCATCACATCAGATCAAGTATTGTAAAGTTCAAACTTACGTCAGAAAGTTGAAACAGGGTGTCAATTTATAAACATTGTAAGTGTGAAACATTGCAACTTGAAACATAAGTCGAAGACTGCATGTATATCTCATCCAGTGCACCAAATGCCCTGATGGTAAATATGTAGGAGAAACCAAACAACAACTGTGCACCAGAATGAACGCACACTGAAAACATAACAAAAACAAAAATACACAATTACTTGTGGGGGCACACTTCTCACAAGAAAACCACTCTCTCTCCAGTCTCTCAGTTCTAATCCTCAAATGGAATTTACAAAATACCTTTCACAGACGAACCTATGAACTTCATTTCATCAGTCTACTGGATACATAAAATCCTGGACGAAATATAGACATTGGACTTATGGCACATTATAACCTGCCTAACATCTGACTCCCCAGGTAAATCCTCCACTATTTACTAGCTGTTCTCATTCCCTTTCCCCACCCCACCCTCCCCACTCCTGTGTCTCATCCATTGACTACAGTTACATTCATTCTCCCTTCCCCCCACCCCCACCTGTCTCTCACCTACTGACTACCTCAATTTACATTTTAACTGACTGGCTTTCTTGCATACATACTGGCCTCTGGCTGCTTTACCACTCCATCCAGGAGGAGCACAGACCATCTGCAGATGCTTACTCAGCCTGAGGAAGGGTATTTGTGCCAAAAGCTTGCTAACAAGAATTTTTCCAACTAATTGAGTTGGTCTAATAAAAGATATTGGATTTACTCAAAGAACCTTGTCTGTACTAAGCAGGGTTGCTGTTTTCTTTACTGGAAAATGTAGCACACCTGGAAATACTGTGCATGCCATTTAGTTGTCAAAATGACTGCAACTTGCATCTAGCTCAACAAGCTGAAAGGGTGGAGTCCTGTGTTAACACTCTCACAGCCTTACCTCTTGACTGAGCATTGTAGTTTATGCCTGAAGTAGCAAGTGAACTGCTGGTAGTCTCTTAATATGGTTTGTGATGTGGAAGCAACACTTTATTTAAAGGTAATTATATAAAGGACTACTTACAGTAAAGAATTAATATTCTTTCTACTGCCTTTGCAAGGGTCTGAGGCCTAGCCTTTTGTAAGATAAGAGTAAGTCCTCCTGGAAGCAGTGTCCTGGAAGGTGGCATCCCAGGACACAGTCTGGGTGAGGCAATAGGAATTTTCTGCTACCAGGAATGATATGTTACAATCTAAAATATAGAGAACCAGGAAGTTCCTGCTGCTTCATCCAGAGTGTCTCCTGGGATGCTATAGTTCTGGGAAACTCTGTTCCCAGGAGGACTTATTCTGTATCACCGCTGGCCATGATTCAGGACTCTTTTCCTACATTCAGTCTTCCAAAAACAAAGTGCATGTTTTATTTGGGGGTCTGTCGTATGTGAGACAGTATGGATACTTCCGTGTGTGACTTTGCGCTCAATGCAGCTTCCCCTGTGGTAAAAAGAAGCATACAGTACCAAGGGAGAGTCTGGCTGAGGATAACTTGACATGGTATAATACAGGCCTGCAGAGACATACCTGAGCAAGCCCTGGATGGGCACGTCCAGACGAGCGTGGCCATGCAGCACATGGCACCGCAAACATATCTGCAGAACCACATACCGCACAATCAGGTGTTCTCCGTTCTGCAAGACTGTGCTGCCTGTGCATGTGTTGCTCCGTTTTCATTCCCCATGGATTTTTTTAACCCACGGGATATCCAGAGGTCAAAAAAATCTGCGGAAAAAAAGTGGAGCAGCATATGCATGGGCAGCACTCATCACTGAAAAGCTATAGCTGCCAGCCAGGCTTCCAGGACCCCAGGTAAGGCTGCTGGGGCCAGCACAGTGCTGGTCCCAGGCTCCCCTACTATCCTTGGGGGAACTGGCTGCATGCCAAAATGCACATGGCATGGGTGTTCCCTGGCTACAAGTAGCTGTGGCACAAAGTGCAACACTGCTACTAGTCCCAGGAACCAAACGCCCACACTCATCTACATGAGTATAATTGCATTATGTTAGAGCTGAGCCAATTAACTCTGGCTGATAGGCAAGATAGAGCACTGTATTAACATAGTCTCTAAGAGTGTGTACAGAAGTTGCTTTTTCTGCCATTTGAAGTGCTTTATTGCTGTTACTTAACAGAAGTGCATGGCTTTACAGCACTTTAAAATGGGTACAGTGCTTTAAATTAACCCTTGTTAAATTAGCTATTAAATTTGAAGCTCTATTTTGCAGCACTTCGGCAACCTACAACACTTTAAATAACTTCTGTACGTTGGTCAAATTTCTGGACAATAGAAAAACCCCAAAAGGCTGTAGAGCACCCCCTGCCACCCAGCCTGGAGAATTCAGGGAGACTTAGAGCCCTCCCCCTCCATCCAAACTCTGCACTTCTGTCAACTTCTTTATAGCGTTATACAAAGAGCTGTAAATTACAATGCTATAAAATGTGCACAGAGCACTTCTGTACACAACCTAAAGTGCCTCCCTGCTTTGCCAACTGCCTGAACTAGGATCTGTACATGGCACTGCATTGCACCACATTGAATACTCTAAGGTGCCCTCCTTACACTCACTCCTCAGTTATTTCTGCCTACTTTTGCTGGCCAGCTCTTTATTTTTAGCAGATTTTGAGTTGACACCTTGCATTTTAGAAATCTCTATCAAAATAAGTTTTCACAGCCAATGTTTGTGTACCCATAATTATTCCAACATAACCCAGGGGTGAATCAAGCCCATAAGTAAGTGTTTTGTATTGTCAAGGGCAGTTCCTTTATGGATTGATGATAAAGAAAACATTTGTTGCTTTAATACCAAATATTTGAATTTCAGTTTTCTTTAATTTATAAACAATAAAATAAATAGACAAGGAATATATGTGTTATAGTTTTAAGTTTAAACAAACTTACTTCAGTCTTCTTTACCAGTATGGTTGCCAAAACCATTTTAGCATAAGCAATCTGTTTTTACTTCCTCCTAATGTACTATATTTTAGTGATGTATTCAACAACTTTGAAGACCAAGTATAACACTAGCAGCATTTCTTAAAACAAAAATTGAATCTTTTTTCAAAAAAAGTAAAAGTGTGCCACCAAAGAAAGTTCTGAAATGGGGTTTGACCTTTTTTTTTTAACCTCCAGTGCATAGACCAAATTTTCAATAAATGACTACTCAAGAATTTTGTTGGAGCTATTGTGTACACTTGCATGGGCAAACAAGAAATTGTTTATATGAAATGGATACTTATATTTGTGTGTTTGTTTACACCATGTCTGGATTTGCAAGCACTGTGGTGCAGGCAAATATATGTTTAATGTATGTGCATGACATTTAGGAGCTCAGTTCTGTGAATTTGATCTAACTGACCAAGTCATACTGATGTCCTCTTGAATTCTGTGTAGCAACAATTCCTGTCCAAATCTGAAGTTAATGTAGGACTCTACCAACAAGTTGCTTGTTGTTCCAGAAATTTTTTCTAGCTTCAAAAGTGTGTACAGTGAAATAGAATCTTCTAAGATTAGTCTGAGGCAGAGTAAAACATTGTTTCCTCTGGATATCAAACTGAGTTGCTTTCTGTTTTGCATTAGGTCTTTGCCAGCCTCGTATCCCAGGAGTAGTTGGAGCAGAACCATTTTCTGCCAAGCTGCGCTATACTGGCCCAGAAGATCCCGACTATACAAATCTCATAAAGTTGACTGTCACAATGCCACACATTGATGGTATGTTAAAATCTGTAATATAGAGAACTCTCACAAAGTGCTGTCATTTGATGCAATGTAGTTATTTTAAGTAGCAAAACACAATATGTTTAATGTTTCTTAATGGTTGAAATAATGGACAAATGTCATAAATGTTTCATTGGAACTTCCCGTAGGTGTATAAGATGCACTTCCATCTTATATATGGTGATATATGCGCTTCCATCTATGTTCTTTTAGGTGAAAACTAAATGGTTCTAATTATTTGCAGTTTCCATAAATTGAGCCAAATCTACCCTTAGTGTAATTCCTTTGAAGTCATTGGAGTTGCACCCAGGTTGTATTTGTTATGTTAAATATTAAATCTTGCTTAGGGCCCTGTTGTTAAGACATATGTTCATTTAAAGGCACCATGGGATCTGATCCCTAACTCCAATAGTCTTGCCTCTTTTCATACCCCACATGTCTGGCAGGAGGCACAATTTTGGAATCAAGTATTGTATCCCAGTTGCACCTTTCTGTTTGCCAGTGCAGGGGGGAACTGAGGACTGTGATCCTGGGCTTGCTTTGTACCGACAAGTTGAAAGCCAGATGCCCATAGTCCAGAATAACCTGGGGCTGTCCCAGAGCCAGGGTCAGCAATCAGGTGATTGTTGACCCTGGCCCTGGAGTGGCCCCAGACATGCCATATGCTCGATTTAAGGCTCCATACAAACTAGCTAGAAAAATGTTCTACATTATACATAGAAGATTTTTATGGCTGGTTTGCCATTTTATTAAATTGGGTGCATATGTGGCACTTTTGCCATTTATGCCATGAATAACACATTAACACAGCATAAATGTAATGTGTAGAGGGGCCTTAACATTTTAAGAAAATTAAATCACCTTGATGCATTGCTTATTGAATACCATATGATTCAGAAAACAGATTTATATAGGGTTAAGAGAATTGTTTTTATTACATGAAAACATTACTTAAATAAAACAGGCATCTAAGCATTGTCAGTAAACCGTTTTTTAAATGTAGTTTGCTACTAGGGTGGCAAGTGTTTTAGTACTTCCTCAGCTCTGCTACTAGCTTTGTATGGGATCTTGGATAAGCTACTTTCTCTAAATCTATCTCAGTGTATGCATTGGTAAAATGAGCAGAGTCATTGGTAAAATGAGTGAATAGTTACCTATTTCACAAGGGGTTTAGGAGACTTCCATGAATTTTTGTAAAGCATTTCAATGAATAACGATAGAAAAATGGAGTCATTAATTTGCACTAATCATTAAGAAATTATTGAATTACCTAATAAGTAGATAAACAGTTTGAAAAGCAAGTAAATGTTACAACAAATTGCACTTTATTTTTTCACAGCTGTTAGTCAATTTTAATTATTTCATAATAAATCAAAATATTGTCTAGTAAATTGACATTTTTGAAAACTTGGGCTCCTAAATCATTTAGACATTTGTGAAAATCACTTATGCACTTTTGAAATGTTTAAGTTACCTAAGTGCAAAGATGTGTTATTTTGAACAAAACTCTCCCAGGGAGAAATAAAGGGTACCATTTATTTTTAATTTTGAAGTGCACTAATTAATAAGCTTCTATTTTTTATGGGTTCAGTGACTGGCTGATTCTAGGTGAATTAGGAAAAATTGAATGTAGCCCATAACTGTAATTACGGAGCCATTCGTATTACCATTATGCTGTATTCCAGGCATGCTGCCCATTATCTCTACAAGAGAACTGTCCAACTTTGAGTTAACCCTCAGCCCTGATGGAACTCGAGTTGGAAACCACAAGTGCTCTAACCTTTTGGACTACACAGAAGTGAAGACTCACCATGGTTTTTTGACTGATGCTACCAAAAATCCAGATGTGATTGGAGAGACCATTCCCTATCAATATAGTGCAACGATCAGGGGCTCCAATACCTTACGCTTCTACCGAAATCTGAACTTGGAAGCCTGTTTATGGGAGTTTGTTAGCTACTATGACATGTCTGAGCTCCTCACTGATTGTGGAGGCACCATTGGTACAGATGGACAGGTACTGTTTTTTAACTTCTTAGCTGTAGTGTGTTCTCAAAATGGAACAGAAATCAATTGGTTCAGTTTAATAGTTTTCCTTTTTGATTTACAAGTGCTTAGAATATGTGATTTAAGAATATAATTTTATTTAAGAATGAAAGACTTTCTTTCATAACCATCCATAGTCCTTAACCTACTTATTTCATATAGCTATGAGTATCCATTAAGAATCACTGAGCATAATAGGTAAAATCCTAGTCCACATTAAAGGGAAAAATAAGTTGAATATGATATACTATCATGAAAACAGACAATTCTTTCTATTGGCAATGCATACCACTTAGTGAGATTTGCAGGAAAGGTAATTCTGAGGGCTGTTTTTGCTGGAGTCAGATCTAGTAATACTGTCTCTTTATAGTAAAAAATCATGAACTGCCTTATAAATCCTGCGATAGTAAAGTGATAACTTTTAAAATATTTTTTATATGAGTCTTCTAAGTATCTGAACTACAAATACAAGATGAACAGACTGGGCAGGGAAACTTTTCAAACCCTAGGTAGAAGCAGCCCCTTTGTTAGGAGATTGAAACACTCAGCTGTACTCAATTACAGGGGCTTCAAGCTACCAGCGTGTACATTAAAACATTTTAATGTGTGTTCTTCATCTTGTTGTTTCTGGCAGAGAGTTGTTTAACTTGATGTTGTTAATAAAATTTATTTGAATGATAATTTCCTTAAGTCACTCTGCCAAGTCTAGTAATGGATTGGAACCAGAGAAAATAACTTCCACAAATAAATACTTGGCCTCAACCACACGGAAGCCCTTGGATGCCAAACTGTCTGGCTACAACACATAGTTACAACGGTAGGAAATAAGATCAAATGATAAGTTACACCCAATCAAATAAGTCCAGGCTGATGCTTTCATATATACATTAAATATTAAAGGGGCAGTCATTTATTTTTTCTTAGTATTTCCCTTTCCTTTCAGTTAGTTTTCGCTTCTATAGCACTTTTCATTCCAGCATCTTGTCACTTGATAGAGTAATTGTTATAATCATTACTTAAGCCTTACATTATCCTCATGAGCAAGAAAAAGTATATGTAGAGATCACAGAGCAACCTTATCAATTATTGAGATGCGCTGTATTTCAATCAAATATGCTAGAATAATTATTTTAAGGGCTTTATATACCATAAAACCTGGCCTACTGAATGATGGGAGTACCTGTACAAAGTAAACTGTTGCTGTTAAACATGTAGTCTGCCCTGCCTATAACAGACTCATGATATAGACAAACTATTCAGGGTCCAAATTTTCATAAGTAGGTTCCTAATGTTAAGATCCTCAGTCTACAGTAAGAAACTTTTCTTAATTTTTTGAGCAATTTGCAGTAATTTTCCAAAGTACTGAATATATGGATTTATTAGCATTTTGAAACCACTTACTCTATTTTTGTTTCAAGAGAATTTTCCCAGAACCATCTCTAGCCCCCTTGTTGGCCTTATGTTATGACCTGGAAGAAAGACTGCACTTTTGTTCACTGAGGACACCAGCAGATGTGCAGTGACACTGCTCCAATGCACTGTAATTACAGTGCATGAGATCAGACTAGATAAATTGAGTCTGCTAGAGTGTGGTAATTACCACACTCCAGCAGACTCCAGCATCGCGTGTATCATTGTCATAGATTCATAGATTCATAGACATTAGCAGCTGGAATCGTGAGATCATTGAGTCCAGCCCCCCCAACACCTCCCACCCCACCCCCGCTGCCATAGGCAGGAAGTCAGCTAGGATCAAGTGATCCCAAAAGGAAAAATATTCAAATATTTTTTTAAAGAGTCCAGAGTAGGTGCTTGCACCACCTCTGGGGAGAGTCTGTTCCAGACCCCAGACACTCGCACGTAAAGAACTTTTTTCTTATGTCTAGTCTAAATTGGCCTTCTTGGAGTTTATGGCCATTAGACCTTTTATCCCTTTAACATGTGTTTTTCATACATGTTTTTTCCAGCTGTTTGCTGTAAACAGGTGAATTCAGTAAGGGATGACAATTTTTTCTCTTTAAAAAATTGTTCTGTGAAGTTAATACACAGTTGATTATCAGCACCAGCTGTACAGCAAAGTCAAAGGTTAAACTTTTCAAGAGGCCTGGCATTTAAAGACTGCATTCCGTTCTCCTCTCCATTTACGTTCTTTCAAACAAACCTGGTTTGCATTTCACCTTCAACCTACCTGGCCATCTGCCTTCCTGGCATTGACTCTTAACTTTAACACATTTTTATTGTGTAAACAGCAGTTGATAACACAGTTGAGGTTGAATGGTTACATGCATAGGAACATTAAGCAAACCTAATAAAAAATAGGTTCAGAACAATTTAGAGGACAAAATTACAGTTAGTATGAACATCGTGTTTCAATAAATGTTATAATACAAATACATTCAAATGAAAAACTATTATTTCCCTCATTTTAAATTTTATCCTATAAGCCTATAGTAGTGAAGACACACTGAAGGCTCTCTTACAGCTGCTAATAATGTCTTAAAAGTACTGAGACAAGTTCTGGCCCCATGTATAAGGAACAATAGTCAAAATTTGCCCCAAATAGATTGCAGTTGAGAATGAATGTCCTGCCTTTGGTCATTTTGTGCTGGTGAAAACTCAGCACTTATATTGGCGCTAAAAAAAAATTTATGTTAGAAAAGTGAGGAGGGGAAGGAAATAACTCTTAGAAATAAGGTGGGAATGTTCTGTTCTCCAAAGCAGGCCTGGGACTCATTCTGACATTTCAGTTTACAAAGGAAATGTTTGCAAATCTGCCTTCCACTCTGATGATGGACATGAAATATTTGTTTTGCTGAGACAAATTACTTTTACAAACAGCTGTTAGAGTGATTAATTGATTTACAGCCTTATTGGCTATTGATAGCATGCTTTCCTTGCACTGCTTGAATGAACTCCTCCCTTCTATCTTCTGATGTTCTCACAACATGACTTTGTTACAGGTCATTAGATCCAGTTTCCTAAACTTGACAGCCCCTCTGTCTCTACAAGTCTTGGGTCTACACTATAAACATTTCAGCATCAGACAGTTAAAAGACAAAAACACCATGAAAAAATATTCTAGATGCTATTATAATTCCGCTAATGTTAATGAATGCAAGTCTGATAATACAAACTGCCAAGTTCTTCTGAATATAAAATGCATGGATATGAAATGCACCTGTCCTGTATTTCCATAGCAATTAAGCTACTGCTTCTGCTTTTATAGTTCTTAGTTAGCCTTCTGGTTTCATATAGTGTCACATCAAATTAAAATATGAGCAGCTGGCTATTTTCGTTAGTCTCTGCCACTAGTGCCAGAAAAGTGGAGAAAGCACAATGAAAGGAAGGTTCTTCATGTCCAGTTGAGTGGCATCATGAGAGAAAAAGAGTTTTCACAACCTTTGTGAAAATCATTCATTTTGATCTGCTTGTTTTCTAATCTAGACTGCAAGCAGAAGCAGCTACAACCTGTTTATTGGCATCCAAACTTGGAAACACAAGGCAAAAATCTCCTCAGCAATCTGCACATCTTTGTATTAAAATTGCCTATTGTATTTATATAATTTAGATTGATAAAAGTACCCTACATTTTTTGCTTGCCATTTTTCTGTCTACTGGACTAAAGTGATTTGTTTTTCACCTGTCGCATTCTGCTTTTTATTAAAAAATTGTACAGTAAGGCAACTTGATCACTTTTTAGATTTAAAAAAAAATCCAAAAAAACCCCCTCATACTCAATAATGGAATTGATGCGTCTCTGGATGGGCATCAGGAGTGCATTTTACTATTATCCTTGACCACACGAAGGCAGCTGTGCTGAGTGAACGCATATATACAAAGGCCAAGGAAGAGTGCTACCTCAACATCCTTGGGTTATAACCACGAGAATATTTTCTAAGTTTAAGGCTTCAAGCATAGAATTGTCATGTATTCCACTGCACTGACTCTGGGTACACCCTTAAGCTTTCTGAGCTAAACTCGCTGCCTCACACCTTCCCAAAGAGTAGGGTGACTAGTACCACCGTAGCCCTGTAGCAGGCAGACTTTTTTTTACCAATTGGATTTTTGCCAGTAGAAATGAATCAGTCTCAGCATAGTTACGTTTCCTGTAGAATGGATAAAGTTAATACAAAGTTGTTGATTACAGATTACGTGAATTAGTTTAGACTAGAAGGAACCTTCTGGATCAGTGAATCAGTGACTTTTCTGTCATGGGCAACCACATCACCTAATCCTGGTCCTGGACAGATGTGCTTTGGAGCATTTCATATGTCTTTGAAGTACTCCAAACATGGAGTGTACATGCAGCTGAAGAAGTGCTTCAAAAACGATCCTCAGAAAGTGAGGAACATCTTTTGAAGTGTTTCCTTTTGAGGTGCTTCCTGAAACATCTGTACGCTCCAGCAAAAGTTTCTTCATCCTCCACCTGCCCCTTGAGGAAGTAGGGAGAAAGCAGTGTGGACAACTGGTAAACACTCTGCTGTGTGCTCGTTTGTCCTTGAGAGTTTCCAGAGACTGAAGACCGGAGAGCTAGAGAGTATTGCATGCATCTCAGCCTTTAGTCTCTAGAAGTTTGGCTGTTTTCCCGCCCCCTCAGCTCCACTGTCCCCATGACAGGGGAGGATATCGGGGCACTGTGGGATACTGGAGGGCCAAGCAACCCTCTGTCACAACCCCTGGCTGGGGAGCACTTCTCTGTGCCTATATCAGTTTAAAGTAATCTTGATGGAATGTGGGTGACCTGAATTGTATTCCAGTGAAGTCACACCAGTACCCTCTTACAGTTGCACTAGCATTTCCCTAGCTACTGGAAAACTTTACCCGATATGTCCTAGAATTACATTATTTGGAAGCTTATAATAATCCTGGGATCAACTAATAGAACAGTCTTTTATCTTACACTGCTATTTTCAACTGCCGAGTCCCTGACCTATAGCAGAACTTCTTGTTATTAATCCGTAAGTGTATTACCTTGCATTTTGTACTGTTACCCCCTAATGTTCCTCCAGTCCTTCAGGTCATTCAGTTCTTCCTGCATTATATTTCAATCTTTTTTATTGACATCAAGCACTTTCCTGCCCAAGTGCAGGGGGGCTGGACCCGATGGTCTGTATGGTCTCTTCCAGCCCCTGACATCTATGAAACTTGTATATGTTTTTCTTCCAGTGAGATAGTAAGCATGTGTCAATTTTTCTTTCTTTCTCTTATAGCTAGGAATTTTCCCCCAATCACAAACAAATTGGATTCAGGATCTTTTAATTACTAGTTCTTACTATCTAAAGAGGTAAATGTAAAATAAATAATTCATAAGAACAATGAAAAGCAACTGGGTTTGACAGAAATAGCATCTTGGTAGTGACATATTTGGTTTTGCAAGCAAATGCAATTGCCTTTTGATTCCATGCCAGGAAATAACAGAAGTATGAGTTGCCTCTGTTTCAAAGGCTAATAAAAATCTACTGGAGAGTTGTACCACATCCTGCATTTTTTCTTAGATGTAACTGTTCTTTATTGTTGCTTTGGAACAATGTGCCAACTCCACACCTGAGATAATTTCATGGGAGTCAATGAATTTACCCCATGGATGATCTTGAGCCTATTTGTGTAATACAAATTGGACTGTAGGAGCAACATTCTTTTCTTAGAACTTCTTGGCATCCAGTATACCTAGACAGGAAACCTATTATCTTGTTCCAAAGAAAAGTTCCTGACCATATTTATTAACACCAGCAAAGGAGCATTAATTTTAATTGACTGTAGCAATAGAACCTAATATTGGCTGTGAGGCCACTTTATTACATAGTACTTTGGAAAACATAAACATTAATTTTGAGATCAATTACTTTGCACTTATAATAGCACAGGCTGTATAAAAATATGTTCTAATTATAATTTGAACTATGAGCCAGGACTTTGCAAACCAGAATATAGAAACTAGCTATGAGTATTAACTGACATTTCAAGAGTTAAACAAATTGTTGACCTACATGTGTTTTGTTATTGACTGTATAGCTGATTTGAAACACAGACATTATAAAGGGAACGTCTAATTTAAAATAGAAGAAAGGAAAAAAACAGACTCTCCTTTTCATCACTTTCAAGGTGACCTAGTGCCTAAATGTTAATATACATTAGAGGAGGATGCAAGCAAAATAGATGGAAGGGGTTTTGGCAGCAAGTTTTATAGGCCAAGTGGTTATGTACATGAAAGCAGGTTGTTACAATTGTTAACATTCTTTGTATCCCAGCCCGTAATCAGCTCAAAATATGAAATGACTGCATAAAAATAAAATGGATAAACTTGTGGTTTTATGTTATTTGTGCAGTTTAACATTGGGAAATGGAAAGCAGCTGCAAAGCAGTAAGTTACTAGTTTCACTAAATGAATTTAGGTGAATGTAGGTTTTGAATTTTACACAGTGTGTGTTCTTAAATAGTTCTAAAAATCATTCAGTGGTGGGGAGGTTTCCAGAGGCACTGATGCCAGTTAGGTGGCCAAACTCCCTCAGGACACCACCGCTTTCTCCCCCTCTTTCTTCTTACCTTTCTCCTGATAATGCATGCTATGACATTGTAAGAGTTTCAAAATGGTGGGTTCACCATTATCTTATCTCTGATAATTGGGCTGTGAATGCAGGGTTATGTTTGTTTTTTTTAAAAAACCTTGAATGTTAAACATAGTATACACAAAAAATTCAGGTCTGTAAGTCAAATAAAGGTCTGTAAGTCAAATAAGAGCTTGATGGTGTAGAACAGATGGTAATTTGTTAATAGTGCTCACAAACTCACCCTTGTCTAGCTGAAAATGTTTAAATATGGTTTTCCTGCTTTGTGTGATATGTAATAAATGTTCTATTTTTATCCCTTTTCAACTTCTTTTCAATTAAGAAGAGGCTAACAAGATCATTCAGTGCATTATAAAGATACATTCTGTCAGGAGCACACCATGTGGTAGCTATTGTCCAAACACAGAAGACAGGTTCAGCTATAACGAATAAAATCTACAGCCTTAATTTTTCAGTAAACTCATGTAAATTCATGGTCTTCCCATGTGGAGATCACTGGAGGATCAGGAGGGTAGTATACAAGCACTTGATGAAGGTCAACAGTAAAGTGCATGGTGTACAAACAGAGGGGTTGTCTCGTTCTAGTCCTTGTTGGCTAAATACCATGACTAAGCCAAAATGGGGTAAAAATGAGTTCCTTAGCTCTGGAATTCAGGTTGTGCATCACTACCAAAAGGGACCTTGAGATTTGTGTCCAAATGTAAGCAATGTTGTGTTTAGTCTGCATCTGTAATTTGGAAAAGAGAGAATTTGTCTCAAGTAGGCTCTTTATAGTGAGCTGTTCTACTTCCTCGTGTATTAATGTTCTCTGAGCTGGGCTGTATTTCATTACTGTCTGACTCTAGGTGATTTTGCCTTTTACAGGTCCTCAACCTAGTGCAGTCCTACGTGACCTTGCGAGTCCCTTTGTATGTCTCATACGTTTTCCATTCGCCAGTGGGGGTAGGTGGTTGGCAGCATTTTGACCTTCAGTCTGAACTTCGGCTGACTTTTGTATATGACACTGCCATCTTGTGGAAGGATGGAATCGGTAGCCCACCTGAAGCAGAACTTCAGGGTAGGTTTATAGATTTGATTTACACTCCTGTAAAATATTTTTCCTATAATTGTAATATTGAAATATTACTTTTATAAGATATGTGTTTGGTGTTAACTAAAGGCTGTTGATTACCTGTGTCAAGATTATATAGAGAGGCTCTAACTGAAAATTATATGACGTTTTCCCCAGTTATCTTACTGGAAGGAAAGATAGATAGTATAATATTTTTCAGTCACACATGCAAAAAAATATAATTGCCCTATGTTTTTACATATAAAATGCACATCTTGTGCATTTCCATCCTATTGATAAACACGGTATCTTACATTTCAGTCAGATTATAAAACTTTTAAGTAGCATGAATGCAGTATTGTGATAGCTATGAAATAATACACAATTTGAGATAATCTTAACCTCTCAAATGAACTTTCAAAGCAAACAGAAAATGTGTAAATAGTCTAGCTAGGTATTCTGGAAATGATTATGATAGATGTGTTAGAGTGGAAACAGACAATAAACAAAATCTGATGTATTCAGTAACTATGATGCATATTGCCGGTACATATGAGTGACTTGATTTTGCCCATTGGACAAGCTAATACATTTATCTTTGCAGAAAATTAACACATTTAACAAAACACAGGCACATCATTCAGCTCTGAATGTGGGAAGGTTTAAATTACAATTTTTAAAGCCAGATGCTGTCTTAAACTATGTATGCATGTCATGTTAATGTTGTATGGCAGTAAGTGTAAGATTTTCTATGTCTGTTCCCCTTATAGTTAGAATTCAAGATCCCAGTTAAGTTTGTGCATTACACAATCCCGTTACTCAGGAGTAAAATATTTATTTTTACAAAAATTGCTATGATATTCATATCTTATAGTGGCAGAATTCCTACAGTCATGTTAAAAGCAGGGTCTGAGTATTGAAAAGGGGAATCTATAGATATACAAAATTAAACCAAACTCCATGGCTGTCTGCACAGTAATAGCTGGATAACGTGTTGGACACCAAACATATATTTGATTTTAAAAGTACCTCTTATCTTCAGTGCTTTAATGTGTGGTTGCAACTTGAAATACTAATGGCCTGACCCTCACAGCTCAGGACTTACCACTCTAGTAAAAACTGTAAAGCACTGCATACATAATAGGTTTCTTGAGTTGTGGAAATATTATGAACACTGAAGAATCACGTACAATTATAGTACTGTCCAATACTACTCAATCTAAAAATACTTTGAGGTACATGAGAAACTTAGGTTGGAGATGTCACCTTGATGATGATATTCCTCACACCTGCAGTCCTGGCACATCTTTTTTTCTATGTACAGATACCTATCAAACTACTGGATTGATGGGAAGTAGTTTGCAGAGCAGAGGTTCCCAATGTTTATGTGCCCAAGGGCACATTCAATTTTAGAAAAAAAAGCAGCGGGCACCAATATGAATATTAAAGTTTAGAATTTAGATCAATCTGATCATTTCATCCATGACTTAAAATTGCATTAGATTCACAACTTCAAAATGCAGCTTCCCTTGTCTTACAAAAATATTCAGGTTAAAAATATTTATTGGAATAATGATTTTTACTGTTCGTGAAAATGTGCACAGGCACCTGAATAAACCTTGGAGGGCACTATGGCGCCTACGAGCACTGCTTTGGGAAACAATGTTGTAGAGTACTCTGAAATCCTCTGGAATTTTTTAGAAATTGAGCACAGCTTAAAGACTTTGCAGGAGTCTCAGATATAAATCACTGCAACGAAGCACTTTTGACATACTTTCTAGATGACAATCCTGTGTTTATAGCCTGAAAAGGGAGCCATTTAAATATTATATTTTGGGTCAAATTCAGTCCGAAACCATTCAGTCCAGGGAATTTACAGATACAGTGTATCCATGACATTTCTTCTTTCACCAAGCCCACAATTGACTGGTACAACCACAAAAGCTGAATGATAGTGTGTGACACTGTTTGGGAGGATGCACAGTTAAGGCAGCCAGGGAGGCATAGATGCAGAGCATCACCTCAACAGCTTCTCTTGTTGGAACTCCTTCTGAGTACCTGGAAGAGGTGAATTCATCCTTCCCTCAGTGGAAAACCTAATTGATTATGGTGACCCAAACCTTCAATTGAACACGGTTGTCTGGACTGGTAAAAGAAGATGCATCTTGCACAAGTAAAAGTGGAGCTGGGTCATGGATTTCCCTCTGTGGAATCATATTTGGGTTGCTGCCTGATAATATGTTGCAGTTGAATTGAATCCCTAATGCTTGTTGCTCTAGGAATGTGTGTATGTGTACAACCACATACATGTATTTTTGCCTCAAAAGGCTGGTGTATGTGCAGAGTTTGGGCCTTTTCCATAAATTTCTATTTGACAGTCATCGTCATAAATCCAAGGGATGTCAGCAATCTGCCAAAGAGCTAAGTGACTTGACAATATGAAATGTGTGTGCCAGCATTTTATAAAAGCATCACTCACTTATTAGGTAACTGCATGTGGAATAATTGGTTCTTAATGGTTTCTGCTGGCAGGTTCTCTCTACCCAACTAGCATGCGCATCAGTGAAGAAGGGCGCTTAGTTGTCAACTTTAAGACTGAAGCCCGATTTCATGGCTTGTTTGTGATGTCTCACCAAGGTAAGCCTAGTCTGAAACTTGATAATGTCTCAAAGCTTGGAGTTCCATACTAATGGTTCTCTTATTCCCAGTGCTGAAATCTGCATTTTTAGTCTCTTGTGTGCACCAACTGAGAATTTACTCTACACATACGATTTCTTTCTTACAATAGATGAACATATTTGAAACTGCCATCTAGAAGAGGGAGAACAACTGTTCTATCTAGTTGTAGAGGACAGGACACAAAGCAATGGGTTTAAACTGCAGTGAAGTGGATTTAGATTAAAACTCAGAAGAATATTGTTTTACCATAAGAACAGTACAGAAATGTCATGAAATCTCCTTCATTGGGGGTTTTCAATAAGAAGCTGAATAGACATTTGTCTGGGAAAGTTAGGGAGTAGCACATTCTGCATTTAATCTAGAGGTTTGATTAAATGACCCTTGAAGCCCTTTCCAATTCTATGATTCTTTACAGTTTTATGAATTTCAGATATATCAAGCCAGTTCAACAGTTTGAGTAAATCAGGCTATATCCACGGTGTCTGCCAAGTTTTTGTAACTAAAACTGATTACTAATCATTACCAAATACTTGTATTAACATAAATATGCAATTTTCTTTATAAATTTTACCTTTCCTACAACACAAAGACCCCTTTTCAAGAGTAAAAAAAAATATGAGGATTGTATTTTGCTGTTAATGAAATGCTCTCAATAGCATTTAATGAATCATAGTTCAGGGTCTGATCCTACAATCAGTGCTTGAAGGTGGGACTCTGTAGATAACCCCATTGACTAGAGTCAGACCAAACTCATGTTTAAGGGTGTCCTAGGTATTGACGCTGGAAAACAATAATGTTATATGAATAAATTTGATCTGATGAACAAAGCCATATACAGTAGTCATATGAAAAGGAAATTAATTGTTAATAAAACTCATCAAGTTTTATTAACCAATAAAAACTCTTTCATGACAACTCAACTTTTCTATTCCTTTTAAAAACATATTAAGAAGACAGAGCTAAAACTGTGCTAGTAGAAATTACTTCATATTCTTTGAATTTACATTCCAAGTTAAAAATAGAAGGGATTATAGATCTTTATATTTCCAAGCTTCATGTTGTGCCTTTTTGGTAAATTTAATCTTTATAGACCTCTGATTGCATATCCCTGTAAGAGATTGTTTAATAATTTTTTGAACAAGAGTTAAGCAGACCCAGCTGTGTTGACTATATTTGGTTCTGTTTGTTTCAGTTAATAAAACCAATTCACTCTAAATGTATTAGCACAACCTACATGTTACTGGAAATACTTGACAATTGCTAAGTATTCATGGCTAGGTATTTAAGATGAGTAGCTAATCTATTGACATTTTTCTAGCATCCTCTCTGAGTTCCATGGTCATGTCAGCTGATCACCCAGGCCTAACATTTAGCCTCAGCCTCGTGCGAAGTGAGCCAACCTACAACCAACCCATCCAGCAATGGAGCTTTGTTTCAGATTTTGCGGTAAACTCTCAGCCTTCGCTTTTTCTCACCCTGTTCCTGTTGTGTCACCCTTGTACACAGTATGTTGATGGAAGTGTTGTATGTCTTGTTTAATATTAATAGGTACGAGACTATTCTGGAACATATACCGTGAAGGTGATAGCTTGTACTACTGCACCTCATCAAGAATATAGTCTCCCAGTGATCTGCAATCCTCAAGAACCGATTACATTTGACCTTGATATTCGATTCCAACAGGTACCTCAAGACATCCTCAACACAACTTTTACTTGAATTCTAAAAATGTCTGTAGTGGTCAGGAAAGAAGAATGGCCTTCTCTGGCTTTAATTTATATGTTGTATTAAATGGATTGAGGTCTGAAAACTGCACTATTATAGTAATAGCTACCATTAAAGAAAAACAGATATGAAAATAATACTTAGCACTTATATAGCACATTTTATGGCTAGAGAAACAAAAAGCAAAGAAGTCAAAGGTCCAATTTTGAAACCTGTTCATGTTAGATATCCCCTTCTGCTGTGAAAAGCTTTATGAAGTCAGGGAGTACAGGCCTGTGCTGTAAGTGACTTGCCCCAAGTTCAAATGATGAATCAGAGGTAGAGCTGGTGATGGAACCTAGCTTGCCTGGCTCCTGGTCTAGTGCCCTGGGTGCTAAGCTACACTGTCTTCCCTGTATTTTTCCATGGGGGGGGAAGGGGATGTGGAGGAGATGGTTCATTTAATAAGTAAATGTCATGCTCTCATCCTCAGGAATGATTTGCACCATATATGACTGAGGGGCACTTTTACAAAGCATTTGTCAAGAGGG